TTCTCGCCCTTCACCTTTGCCTGTGGAGGAGGGCCTGGCGTCTACGGCCATGGCACCTAACCCTGGCTTCAGTCTTTCTCTTTTACCTTCAGAGGAGGGGCCAGTGCCAAAGGCACCTGACCCCACCCTCCAGCCTTCTCACCTCCCCACTGCTTAATAACCCCGTGGTGGCAGCCTGTACTAGCTGCGTCAAGTCATCACCACCAAGTGTCCTTGGGAAGCCCGATCAAGTTTCCACATGGCTTAATAGGCCTCTTCTCAGGGGGGTGGCTGGGACAAAAGGATATTAAAGGTCTCGTTTTCTTAGGATAAATTTCTCTCAAGTTATACCTCAACTGGGACTATATCAACCTTCCCGTGCGAAAGTAAAGGGATCATGTAGATTAATCCTGTTAGCGAACTACAAAAAGGTCAATTGTGATTTTAATCTACTTTTCCAACCAAACATGCAAGTGCTCTAGTAAAGATTTTGCTTCCAACCTTACCATGTGTGAACACATTAGTGCTGAATTACACCACTGTTTGCTATATCAGGCTTGCCAAGGTTGTATTTCATAAACAAAAGGGTAAATCACCTGTTGTGCCTAAGTAGCGCCCTCTTATGAGAAAGGTAAGGCTTTAAATACTAAACACCCTGCGGGACAATATAAGGTTTTGAAACTGGCCATTCCCACCTGGTTAAGTCATTTTACTAAGCTCAGTACTTTTCCTGCCAAATGGATAAAATATTGGGTATTCTGTGTGAGCACAATAAGGATGGGAACTGATCACTCTTGCCTAACTGTCCACGCCTTACAACTAAGACGACAATTTAGCAATTCATAAGGGTTTTTTAACAACTTTGCCTGTTCATAATTATAAATGAGTAGGAACGGATCATTCCACATCCATGTGGTCTGTTCACTCCAAAGGGTTTTACGTCAAACTGTTACAAACAGAAATAATCAAAATGTCTTATGTGTAGCTTACTAAAAAGAACTTTTGAGTTTTTTTTTTTTCTAGCTGAGACACTAGAAAAGCAACAGGGCACCAATATGGAGGGCTGCAGAACCAGAGGGCCAAAGAGTCATCCCAACTGACAGTCGCCGTTAGTGACAAAACTCCAACTGCCCATCAGACACATGGTAAGAACAAACCTACTAAGGGATTGATGCCCATTGCTTATAGGTACAGTCTGTGGGGGAACTGAAAGCATAGTTGCCCCCAAAAGGCCTTAACCTCCTGGGCCTTGTCCACTCTACAGGCCAGAAAGTCATTGGGAAGCAGGTGCTCTCTCCTCTGAAGAGAGGAGAGGACGCTTGGCTCACCAATGGTGGCCACTTATGGAGACCTGCAAATCTGCTAAACTGCCTGGCACTGGCTCTCCATCACCCCAACAATTCCCCAGGTAAATAGGGTGCTGGAACCCAAATTAATTTCTTAATTTAACACAGGTGCCAGTCTTTTGGTCCTGGCCATCCATGTTGAAATCATAGCCTTATACAAAAGAATTTTCTCCTTTAAAAAAAAAAAAGGAGGGAAAGAAAGGGACGAAATTCAGTTGGCCCTCCCCCACTGTCTTGGTTAAAAAAAAGCAAGACTTTTTCTTTTCTTTTCTTTGGACCAGCACTTTGGCTAAATAAGTAACTATTACAATAACTGTTGTAATCCTTGTTATAACATGCTTTTAAAAAATTTATTACTGTAACTCTTCAAGTTCTCAATTCAGTCTCTCTAGGGTGAGATAAGAAACAAGCCCCAGAAGCCACATCTGCCCTGCATCCTCCTGAGCTAACTGCACACCAGGTAGATTGATTTTGCTCACAGAAGCTTGTAATCACCTATAGTGCTTTTCAGGGCCAAATTACTAATGAACTTTAAAATCTCCTAGGCACAAGGAATACTATCCAACATAGAATGAATGACAAAATAACCTGGCTTCACCCTCCAGCTTATCAATCGTTATGAAAGTATATCAAGCCTATTATAAAAACAAAGGAAACTGTTTTCTCTTGCCAATGTTTACCTGTTTTAAATTCTCAGTTTAAGCTACAACCTAACTACATGTCGTGAATGTTTTAAATTTTTCTTTGAACTAAGTCGAAGTAACTGTATTTCCTTTATTATAATAATATTAATTCTTATAGTCAATACTTTGGATACAAATACTGAAAATATTTAATGCCACGGGCTCCGATTCTCTCATCCCCTCTTCTTGCTCTAAACAGGTAGGGACAGCTCTATGTCCCATGCACAGCAGGAAGTAGCTACAGAAGCCTGACCTTCGTCCCTGTTCCCAGGTACAAATAAGAATATTTTTTAAAACAGCAAGAGGTGGGAATGAAAGGGTTTAGTCTCACACCCTTATGGAAATTGGAACTGGCATCCAATTCCTGAACAAAACCCAAAACGCACGGGCCATAAGAGATAAAATAGACAAGTGGGACCTCATTAAACTGACAAAAGCTTCTGCAAAGCCAAAGAAACCATCAAGAGAGCAGGGAGACAACCCACGGACTGGGAATATGTATTTGCCAACTCCAGGTCTGACAAAGGCCTAACATCTTGGATCTATAAGGAACTCAAATGTGTTGAAAAGAAACAAACAACCCCATTACAAAGTGGGCAAAAGATATGAACAGACACTTCACAAAAGAAGACATACGAGCGGCCAACAGACACATGAAGAAATGTTCAACCTCACTAATCATCAGGGAGATGCAAATCAAAACCACACCGAGATACCACCTAACTCCTGTCAGAATGGCAATTATCAATAACTCAAAAAACAACAGTTGCTGGAGAGGGTGTGGTGAAAAGGGAACACTTCTACACTGCTGGTGGGAGTGTAAACTAGTGCAACCACTGTGGAAAGCAGTGTGGCGATTCCTAAAAGCTCTAAATATCAACCTCCCATATGACCCTACAGTCACCCTACTGGGAATACACCCTGAAGAACTCAAATCACTCTATCAAAAAGATAACTGCACAGGTATGTTTATCGCAGCATTGTTCACAATAGCAAGAGCCTGGAAGCAACCATGCTGTCCATCAAAAGAGGACTGGATTAAAAAAATGTGGTACATATACACGATGGAATACTACGCAGCCATAAAAAGAACAAAATCATGAACTTCACAGCAACCTGGATGGAACTAGAGTCTATAATACTGAGTGAGCTCTCACAGAAACAAAGATCTAAGTATCACATGTTCTCACTCATAAGTGAACCTTGAACATCTATCGTAATACTATAAGAAAAGGATTGACAGTGGTGGGAATCTATGGGGGCGGACAGGGAGGGCAAGGGTGGTGGGAATAATGGTTGCCAATATCTGTCTGGGGATGGGGAGTACACCCCTTATCAACAAGGGTGCCTGAACAATGCATATTTGTATATCTAACCCTTAACTGGCCCCACAATTTTAAAATAAAAAATATGGTTTTAAAAAAAAGTATTATGGTCATGAAAATTGAAAAAAAAAAAGAAAGGGTTTAGTCTTTTTACCTCAACATGGCCATTAGAAAATGTTCAGGCATTCTACTGCAGAACAAGCAGCCTATCCCATCCCCTCCCCCGCCCCCAGCAAATCTCTATCAGATGCAAGACCAGGACAGCCCAACATTTCAATTCATGGTTTAGCATAATAATCTCTAGTAAACTTTTAGGTTCCTTGTCAAGGCTGAAGATCAATGATCACCCTTTGGCTGGCCAAAGTCATAAAAATAATACCACCACCTTTGGTCAAGGAGTTTGTGAGCTGCAAATATCTGAGTTTGTGAATTACAAATGTCTCACAAGTCTCTTGCAGAAACCGCCCCCCAATCCCAGGGTTATCCCAATCCGCCCTTTGTGACCTACATGACACGAATAAACCCCACCATGGCAGCAGTCATGTGACGAACCCACCCCTCGGCCTGCTGTCCATCACCTGACGTCAGTCCCTGCGCTTGCCTGCCCCTTTGTGATGACATGGAGCAGACCACCACCCAATCACCTTGATGATCTTCCCCCATCAAGGGGCATGGTGAAAAGAACTCAACCACAAGCAACCAGCGGCCATTGCCATGCTAGACTCTGGTTGCTCTTTGAGCCAAGGCTGTTGCCATGCTTCCTGGCTTTGGCCCCCTCCCCCACCTTGGGGAGGTGAATCTTCTGTCTCCCTTCTCTTTCTCTCTCTAATTTACTTTTAAATAAACTTTTCTTTCTTTGCCTCTTTGAGTGTCTCAATTCTTTGCATTACCCGCATCTCTGGGTTACTGGTGCTGTACCTCCCCTCACCCCTCCATTATCCTACCCTCACCTATCCGGACCCTAACAGAGCGTATTACACAGAACTGTGGAAAGAAATGAAATAAATGTTTTATTTTTTATTTTTTTTGAGTTGGAGTCTCACTCTGTTGCCCAGACTGGAGTGCAGTGGCTGCTCCCAGCCACCGCAGCCTCGACCTGCTGGACTCTGGCGATCCTTCCATCTCAGCCTTCCAAGTAGCTGGAACTACAGGCGCATGCTGCCACACCCAGCTAATTTTAAAATTTATTGTAGAGATGAGGTCTCACCAAGTTGCCCAGGCGGGTCTCGAACCCACAGGCTCAGGCAATTCACTTACCTCGGCCTCCCAAAGTGCTGGGATTACAGGCTGAGCCACCGAGCCCAGCCGAATAAATGTTTTAATTCAAAGAAAATTACACTAGAATATAGAAGGAGAATATTTAGAAGGAACATAAATGATTAAACATGTATTATATTATATATTACATGTTGATACGTTGAAATTCACCTAAACACTGAAAATCTGTGGGGATAGAAGAAAAATGCTGAATATTGCTACTATATAACAAATCAGATTAGCATTAACCCAAAAAGCAGATCAGAAATTCAAGGCTAAAGAATGTTCATGCCATTGTTTAAAAACCCTCACACTGAGTCACACAAACTATTAGCCGTATTTGAAAACAGATTTCTCTTCCACCTCACAGAGGCTGGTGGGAGAATAGGTTTCACTCTCTTGTTGTGTCTTTAGAGTTCCATGCAGAAAGACAGAGAAGTATCAGCCATATTTTTCTCATAGTCCTCATTAAATTGCTTGTTCTGAGCTACAGTGAATTGATTTTTCCAGTCTCCCACGACACCTACAAAGAGTAAAAGAGAGCACACTCAGTGATATTTTCATAAACTTTAACCATTTTGGATTTGGAAAATCCCACTCCTCTTAATTCTAACATTGCTGACACAGATATCAGCTCGTTGCTGTCCTGACGTCAAAGTGAGGAGAGAAGCCACAGGTATGATTACTACATTTCGAAGGTAAGGTGTTTGTAGAGAGCAGGCTTTGCTCTGAAACACATGGGGAGAGGCTGGACCCCAGGACACATGGTTGCCTAACCCTCTGCACCACACTCTTGGCCTCTCTGACCCACCTGCCCTGATCTCCCCTCAGTGCATATAGCATTCTCTTCAAGTTCCTACTCTCTCCTCAGAGGTCACTGAAGGGCCAGTTCTCAGAGCATCATCTGAGTCTTTGGTCTGTGCCTCGAAGGCAGGCAAAATTCCGGTGGAAGACATCTGAGAATTCTCCTCTCCAATCTAAATTCTCACTGCAATTCACATATAATTAAAGTGAAGGCCAAACCTGATCTTTTTCTATTATCCAAATTCCTGACTAAGAGGCTTGGGGAGTCACGCCTGATAAGGAGTGACCAGACAGGGTTTTTATGACCCTAGTACCCTGTATCCTAAAGCTTGCTTTCCAACCTGACTCTGGTATACCATCACATGACAAATAAAGAAGGAAACTAAAGTATTTTATGGCCCTGAAAAGTCATCCCTTGGGGATTCCTGGGCTCTGGGGAGCCTTGTCAGATACTTATCTATCCTCTCTGAGGTCTGCTGCCTTTAGGATTTCATCTGCATATCCCCAAATCTGAAACCTTTCCACCCGCTTCTCTTAACAAAGCATCTTCTCTACTGATCTCTCTAATTCCTTAGATAAGAACTACAAATTGCCAGTCAATAAATCTTTGAGTCCACTTATGAATTGCAAGCTCCTACTTGGAAATATCCCTCCTTCCAAGACCACACCAATGAAAATATTCCATGTATGGATTGATGGTTTCTCGTAACTTCCACCATTCAACCAGGGTGGGCACATGTGCTCAGGACTTCTTGGGGTCCTCACATTTAGTTCAGAATACACTATCTTGAAACATTGTACAGAGTTTAGCATCTTTTTTGTCAACAAAAGTAACAGAATCTGAAAGATTGGTGAAGTTGCTTAACTTTGTTTTATGGTTATGCAAGAGTATTCAAATTTTTTTTAGCTTCCATAGCCAAAATGGTCAGAGAGCCCCTAATGAGCTATTTCTCTTCTGTTTGCTCCAAGGTATTGGGTCCGTTTAGCTTCTTTGACCTGTATAATGTTACTTTATGTGTGAAATGTAAATTTACTTAATTGCCTAGGAGTCATATAATCATATCATTTGCCAGTTGATTTAAAAAAGATTAGGTCATTTGTTCAAATCGGGAGAAATTTCTCCAGTGAGCCTCAGGTTTTTGCTTATTTTATTTTCTAAGAATAAAAAAATAAAATATTTTCAAAATTTCTAAAATGAAGACAATTGAACAGATGTTGTCTCTGTTTAAGGAGAAAGCCATGTGATAGCGTAGGGTGCACCCAGCACTGGAGGCAGGGGTCCTAGCCTGGCTGGGCTTTGATGATGACTCACGATGTCACCTCGGTCATTCTCTGTGAAATGACACTGATGGATTGACCGCTGAGATGACACCCTTCTAGCTCTTAAGGCCATTCACCTTTGCGGCTGTCTTCCAGAATGGGTTGGGCGTAGCACTCACTTTGTGGAGATTAAGGGGCTTTACTTGAGAAAGAATTTTGTGGTCACATAATTCTTGAAGCTCTGAGCTAGAGTTTCTTTTCAGAACCGCATGTGCTTTAAAGGATGCAGGGATGTGTGTCATGGCCTGTGCTTCTCTGGTCATCAGCACGTGCTCATGAAATAAAGCTTTGAAGAACTCACTTCAGGAAACTGTCAACAGTGGTTTCAACCAGCTTGACAACGAGAGAGCCATTGATGAACTGACCCTGCTATTTCTGTTCTCAGAGGAGAGACAAAGAATGCGCACACGTCACCTTTTCTCATGAATGGAGAGAGGCCATGATTCATTCTAGCTTCGTTTGAGAAGTTGGTCATGGGGTTCTTCTTCATTACTTCAAAGGAAGTGTTATAGGCAATTTGGTCCACAACCTCTTCTTTTAGGTTCTTCCCCAGGAATTCCATGATCTTTCTAATTTCACTTTTCGGATCCTGTGGGGTGGGGGGAAGGAGAAAAGTGAGCTCTCTAAAGAAAAAATAGAGCAACGGTGGAACCTCGAAGGACTAAGCATGGACAATAAGGGTTAAAACATCTTAAACAGTGCTAGTTTATGTTCACAATTAACTTTGAAAAGCTATGCTAATTATAGCATGCAGATTTTTAAATGTCAGATCCTTTTACGCATGGCAATTTAAAGTGCAAGGATATGACAACAATTGCTTTTGATCCCTGGCTGTAGCTGATGCTAAGGGGATATTTTCATCTGGGAAGCTTAGTCTTTTTCTTGCTTTCACAGCTAGAAGATGAGAAGCTATTTGGAAGAAGAGGTGGCTGTCTTTCAAAGTAAACTAGATATATGTTGTCCTTGTGTTTGGAGAAACAGAAGCGTGTGGAGTCCTGGCTGCTCTGGCATGGTGCAGAAGCAATGTGGCACCTCCCTCTCTCCCTCTCTGTGTCTGGTCATGACATCTTGTGGCCTCTGGGCTCCCTCCTGACTCTGGGCCTGTTGGAAGCCCTCACAAGAGCTCCCTACACTCTGAGACAGCTTCCCACCTCATCCAGAAGCAAATAAAAGGGGTCCCGTTGGATGTGAGTGTTGCCTGCCCCTGGGCTTTCCTTTGCAGGCCTCCTAGTCCTCCCTGGCAGTTCTGTCTTGCGTCTGTCCTTCCTGTCCGGCCTGTCCTGGGGCTCCCTTGCTCCCTGGCACGGCCACACCGCCTGGAGGAGCAGGAGACTATTCTGACACCCAGGAAAGCTGCAGAGAGCAAGGATGGATAGAAAGAGGGATTGGGCCCAACCTGAATAGACGGAAGGAAAGAAGCCGTGTGTTCGGTCTACCCAGAGGGGTGAGAGGAAAGAGAAGCCATGGCCAGCGAAGGACACGAGTTGGTGAGTGAACCAAGTCGTAAATCGAGGCTTAGAGACCAGCCAGGAATGCTGGGCCGCAGTTAAGTTTATTTTATATAGAAACATAGGAGGCAGATTTTTGAATCGGGGATCGTATGTGCAAAAGCTGTGGCTGGTGGGGAACTTCTGTTTAAAATGGCAAAACTTTAACATTTTAAGCAAGCAAATAAATCAAAACAGCTCTGTTCTTTCTCGCTCATTAATGCCTGTGGGGATTCTTAATTCATTGCCTTGAAGTCAGAGCAAGCCACGTGGGAGGTTGGGACCCGAGAAGGAAGCACGTAGAGACCTGGGGAAGGAAAGCACGCCTGGCTCAGGTAAGACAGCTCTTGTGTGCTTCCGGCTGAGTGGGACCCAACCCGCAAGGCAGGGGCCTGCACAAAGAAGAGGCTGCTTCCTGCGGAGAACAGTGACCGCTGCACCTCATGTGGGGTTTTGTACATGGCAAGGTGGTCAGAGAAGTTGGAGCTGGCATACGAAATATTTTGCGCAGACACACTTTCATGTATGACTTCTCTTCATTTCTATCATGGAGCTGTAACTTTGAGAAAAAATTCCGTGAAGTTAAAGTTCAAGTATGTCTCTTACTTGCATCCTTTCTTCATAGAAGAGATAGAGGATGGGGTGACTGTCTTTCTTCCTCCACCAGTCTTTCACGTGGTCGTACCAGGACCCCCAGAACACTGAAAGGAAGACACAGACACGTTTGGGTGGTGAGAAGCCGAGAGTGGGACAAGCCAGAGAAGGAAGTGAGCTGTTTCCATGGGACACGAGTGGAGGCTGTGATCGTTGCCGCCCTCGAGCAGATGTAGAACCGAGTTTTCACCCTTCCTGCCTCCATTTTCAGCACAACTTTTCTTCCTTTTGGAACCTGGCAAGATTGCTGTCTCAGGCTCCAGAGCCCGCTGGATTTGAATCTCAGCTCCGACCCTGAGAGCTGGGCGGTCCTGGGCAAACTATTGAACTCCTCTGAGCCTTTTTACATTTCTGAAGAAGGGCTGATAATTGTCTCAACCTCCCAAGGTAGTATCAGGATAAATTTATTCTGCAAGGACTTCTGTGTGCTCAACACTGTTCTAGGCATTGGGGGCGAAGCAGAGGCCAAGGTGGGCAGAATGCTCAGCTTGTGGAAGTATGTGTGAGGCAGATAGGTGAGATAAAAGCGAAGTGTGCAATCTGCTAGATCGCCATATGTGCTCAGGAGAGCAAATACATCAGAGAAGGAGGGGAGGGGGACGTTTTGGGCGTACTCAGGAGGCCAAAATTCTGATACGCCAGCCAGGGAAGGGGTCCCTGAGACGGTGACGTTGAACAAAACCCTGAAGAAAGAGAAGGAATGAGCACTGCTGGTGAGGGACCCAAGAAACCAAGAAACTTAAAAAGCCATACTTGCCGCAAAAGAAGCGTTCACTCTATATTTTGTATATCCCTACCTCACATTTATTGTATTTTATGAATTCTTAGTACTTTAAATCCTACCTCAGACCCGTAGAATTAGGCACATGTCGGGTGCCGGGCTGTGGCTGATTGTGTAGTTATACAATGTCTTAAGTAGTGTTTGTATTTAGAACTCTTGGGTTAAACACTGTTCGTCCCAATTGCCACGCTGACTTCTTCTGCTTTTACAACAGGATGTAAATGTTAAAGCGATAAGCCCCTTTCAGACATTCCTTTGCTTAGATTGCAGTAGTCTCTGAGGCGCTAACCACTCTCCTGGTGGGCTCTATGTTGGTTCAAGCCTCCGGCTCCCATGCCAAAGTCAATTTACACGTAGTGGCTGTGTAAGCCTGAGAGAATCAAAAGACTTTTAAAAAAACCACCTTGCTATAAGAAAACGTTTACGGTTTTTATAAATCCCTAGAACTAGTACTGTATGAATTCCTACCTCAGTTCACTGTATTTGTTTGCAGCGTTTGTACTTAAAACTTTGTTAAGTTTAGCTTTTGTTGTCCCATAATGACCATGATATGTTATGTAAATGTTAAGCAAACAGACCCCTCCTAAGCGGTCCTCTGTTCAGATCCGCAGACTTGGTGGCGCTAGCCACCCTCTGGGGGGTGCTCTGCTGGGCCCTGCGTTGTTCCAAACCTCCTGCCTGCCTGCTCAATGTAATTTGCACGCCGTGACTGTATAAACCGAACTTATCTGACATTCCACGCTGCCTGTTTAGCTGTTTCCTATCAATCACAGGCAGATGAGCTAAAGCCCGCGCAAGCCAAAAAAATAAGCCTACCAATCTCAAGTGTCCCCGTACCCATTAGGAGAAATTACCCAATCACGTAAAAACAAGTTTAAAGTTCTTTCCCCTCCCTCTGTAATTGTGCATAAAAACTGCTTGCCATACTGGATCGGGGCTCTCGTCCCTGAAGTCGCTGTGTCGGCTTCATACGTGAGCCCAGACTTGAGCCTGAATAAAGACCCTCGTGTGTTTGCAGCAGAGCTGGCTCTTTGTGGTCTCTCAGAGTTAAAATCTTGGGTTTAACACTGGTAGAGGGAACAGTCAGGCGAGGCACTGGGTGGGTGGCACCTGATGTGTCTGGGGAACAGAAGGGGGCCGGTGCAGCCAGGACAGCCTGAGAGAGGGCCAGGGAGTGGGGGCAGATGCAGGAGGTAGAGAGGCCCGGTGCCCCGGGCCCTGGGAGTTACTGTGAGGGTTCTGCCTTTCACTCCGAGCAAGATGGGAAGCTGAGTGGCCTGCCTTAGAGGAGTGATATGGCCTGACTTCCCTTTGAGCAGAATCTTTCTGGGTACTGTGGGGTGAATAGGGTGTCGGCTGGCAAGGGCAAGAGCTGGGGAAGAGGCTCTTTCATTGATCCAGGGAATATCTGACGGTGGCTTGGATCAGGGTGGTGGTGGCCGGAGTGTCGAGGATTGGTCAGATTCTGATGTATTTTGAAGGTAGTGTTGACAGATGTGCTGACAAGCTGACTGGAGTGTATGAGAAAGAAAGGCACCAGGTGCCGCCCACCCAGGGCTTTGCCTGGCTGTTTCCTCTGCCCAGATAAGTCCAATGGTTTAGGCCTGAGCAATTTAAAGGACAGAGCTGCAAACAACCAAGATGGAGAAGCTGCAGGAAGAGTAGGTTTTGAAGAGTAGATTAGGACAGGAGTTCAGATGTGGACACGTGAAATCAAAGATGCCTTGTAAACATCCAAGTGGAGATGTCAGTGAGAGCCGGGTCTGTGCCCCCTGAGCCCAGGGCCAAGGCCAGAGCTAGAAGTGCAAGCCTGGATGTCATCAGCAGATAAGTGACATCTGAAACCATGAGGTGAGCGAGGTTGTCCAAGGAATGATGGCAGGCAGCAAAGAGAAAAGAGATGAAGCGATAAGGAGAAGCTAGCAGAGGGAGCTGAGAAGGAACAGTTGGAGGGGTCAGGAAAGGGTGCCGTCCTGGGAGCCCAGAAGGAGAGCGTTTTAAGGGACAGAGCGTGGCCAGTGGGGTTAGATGATGCTGATGGGTCGAATAAGATGAGGACTGAGGATGGAGCGTTGGGTTTGGTGACACAGAAGTCGCGGGTGACCATGGCAAGACAGATTTGGAGGTGTGGGGCGGGGAAGGGGGTGAGAAGCTGAGGCTAGCATGTAAACAAGTCCTTCGAGGCGTTGGCAGTCAATGGAGTGAAGGAAAGGGGCAGAAGTGGGGGCGGTTTTTAAATTTTATTTTAAGATGGGAGGAATAAGAACATGATCAAATCATCTAAGACATATGAAAGCATTAGTCTGTTAGTGCCTATGACATAGTATCCTAGTGTCTGACAATCAAAAAATTAAACTAAAATTTTGGTAATATTTTTCCTCTTGCTTCTATCATATTATTCCTTCTGACAAAATTCACTTTTCCTGTTTTCCATTCCCACAGGGTAAATATTAGGTAGGACGCATCTGGGTGTATCCTTGATGTTAGGGTGTCTAAGAACACTTCATCGCCACTCCCAATGATGGTTTCCCATCACTGGGGAACATCTGTTCAGCCTTTTCCTCTCTTCCAGCATATGATGTTGTTATAAGGTGGACCAACCATCCCATTTTGTTTACGGCTTTGCCAGTTTCATTGCTGGAACTCTGTCTCAGGAATCCCCTTAGGTCAGGACAAGCTCGTGTAGTTGGACACCCCAGATATGGGGCCAATCTTCACTGTGACAGAAAGTACTCAAGCTACTTCAGCTGGCTAAAATGCTTTGGCATGGTGCCTGACACTGACTAAGACCTTAATAAACAGAAGGAGCTGCTGTTATTCTAATTCTTCTTGATGTTACCTGCCCCATTTGATGGCACTGCATCTGCTTTGTCAGGAGTATCCTTGTGTATTTGTGTGTGTGTGTGGAAGTACCCTCCAAGACTTTGGCCTCAATGCTTCTCTCCACTGGTGTGCAACTCTTCTTGTGCTGGATAAAGGGTTGGCATTGTACTCTCAACTCTCCGATTTAGGAAAAGCCATCTGTACCAGCCTAATCCCAGTCCCTCGCAAGACCCACAATCTCAAGTCATTTCACTAGGTCACTTATTGTCAAAAGGCATTCTGACATTATTGTTAGAATATCCACAATGAAATTAACAGAAGACATTCAACCAGTAAAGATACCTCAGAGTACAGTGGATGGTGTCTCATAAGGAGCAGATTGCAACAATAATAATTTTGTCATTTAAGGTAACAAAAATCAAATGGCAATCAAGAGCATTGGATTTTCATGCTTTACTGGTGGTTTATTACTAATGGAAATGGCTATTTTATTAAATTTATATATAATTAATTTAGAACAGGACTTAAATATAGGAGGCAAGGCAGTTGTTTCTCCATAGGACAATATAAATAATTAGCAAAAAAGGAGTTTGTTTATTTGTAAATTTTGAACTTGAACTATCGAGTGCTTTGGTACAAATGGTTAGTTTTTAATCATGCAAAGCTGCCAATTCAACTTTATAGTGTAAACCAGTTTGATATTATAATTATGTTGTACCTCTCAAAATACATAACCTTATAAAGGCATGCTTAAATTACCTTTTCTTAACTTTTGGGAAATATTTTTTATTATGAAAATATTCAAATATACACAAGAATAAAGGAAAAAGTATGACGAACGTCCATGAAGCCATTACCCAACTTCAATAATCTAACCACTTTTAAATACTCTTTAGGCTTCCTTGGGGGAACATTTGATATATTAAAAGATCTGGCAGTATTTGAGACCTAGAAAAACTTCAAGAAACTTGAGAACACTCAGTTTTGACACTGGAAACATGATTTTGCAAGGCCGTATTTTTCTGCACGTGATACTTTGTAAACCCACACACAGTATCATGGGCTACCACCACATTACCAACTCCAGTGGTGGTCGTGATTAGAAAACTTTTGCACACATCAAACCTTTTTTCTCCTCTCCAGTTAAACATGTAGGCCATTAGGAAGACTTTAACGTGGTGGCCAAGCACACAGAGTTTGAGCTTGGCTAGATCTGCTTATGTTCAAATTCTAGCCTGTGGTCTTACTAGCAGGGTAATTATAAGCAAGTTACTCAACCTCACTGAGCCTCAGTTTCTTTACCTGTAAATGGTGGATGTTGTTATCATGCGTAGAGGGTTCCTCTAAAGATTAAACAAGTTGATGCACGTAAAACATTTAGCCCAAGCTTAGAGTTGATACCTTCTCTTATTGTGGCTGGCTTTCCTACAATCCTGGTTTGACTTCATTCAGAGGATATATCACAATTGGAAGCAAATCCACTGACCATGGATGATAGCTCACCAGGGCCATACCACGTTTTTCAGGACATTGCCTCTAGTCCTTCCTTTTCAGAGAGTCTGAACTCTTTCTGTGGGTGAATTTTATTTTCCAAGAAGGAGAATTTTATGGTGAAAACTTATCCTCTATAGACATCGGTGAAGACTGGTGCCATCCACCTGGCTCACCTTTGCCTTCCAGAAATGTTTTGAAGTACTCATCCCAGCTTCCTGGGTCAGGGAGATCTTTATGCATCCTTTGAAAATGATAGTAGGACACCATGTTGTCCTTGGCATTCCTTGCCATGTAGATTATCTAAAGTGGTGAGATGAAATGAAAGAAATGATATAAACGATAGGAATTAGACATTGGGCATTTGGTGTGTACAGCATACATGTTCTCAGTAAGCACATCTCAAAGGTCATGAGTTCTTTTCTTTTCTTTTTTTTTTTGAGTTGGAGTCTCACTCTATTGCCCAGATTGGAGTGCAGTGGCACACTCCCAGCCACCACAGCCTCGACCTGCTGGACTCTGGCGATCCTTCCGCCTCAGCCTTCCAAGTAACCAGAACTACAGGCGAGTGCTACCATGCCCGGCTACTTTTTTGATTTATTGTAGAGACGAGGTCTTGCCAAATTGCCCAGGCGGGTCTCGAACCCGTGGCCTCAGGCAGTCCACTCACCTTGGCCTCCCAAAGGGCTGGGATGACAGGCTGAGCCACCAAGCCCAGCTGCATGTTGTTTTCTTCCACTCAACCTCAGGCAGTCAGTATGATTGTGCAAAAATGCAAATCAGACAAGGCTGCTTCCCCGGGTGAAACTTTTCAATGTTGGTTGCTTTTACAGTGAAGTTCACAGCTCTCCATCTTGGGGTAGGCCCTGGGCCATCTGCATTCCCCATGCTCACTTCCCACTGGTCGTTCTCAACCTCCCTCCTTCTGCAAGAGCACTGCTTCTGCAGCTCTCTAATCTTTTTGGCTGTCCTTTTTCAATGTGTCCTATTCTGCCATCCTCTCTTAGGGTCTTAAACTAATGCACATCAAGAAGTCTGTGCCTCTCTCTAAAGTTGTATGCAAAAATTTTTTGTAGACGTGCGCTCTGTCAGAAGCAGAGGCACACCTCCTTCAGAGTCTCAGTGGGGCTTGTGATTACTGAAAGTCTGAAACCTTTAACTCAAATGTTGGTCTTCCTTTGGGCTCTGTCTGGGGCCTACTTTTATGTCCACTTTATTTACTTTTCCTATTTTGGGAGCCATCTTTCTCCATTGTTGTGAGTTTCACGTATTTATGACTCACAAATTTGTTTTAGTTCTCTCTGCTGAGCTACAAACTCATAGGTCTGTATCCCTACCGGAGTGATCCACAGGCATTTCAGACTGAGCTGGTTTAAGCTCAATTTGTCTTCACACAGACCTACCGTTCTCTCCAGTGATGTACCACCATCAACACAGTTAAATGGCAAATCATCCTAGAAGATTTTTCCCACCTCTTCTCTAGCGAATCCTTGACCAGGTCCTGTAGATTCGTTCTGTCGTGTGGGAATTCACCCCCTCACTGCCTCTGCCTGAGCCCAAGCCTTCTTAGTTTTTCCCTGGACTATTGCCACCATCTCCCCCTTGGTACCTTGCTTTCAGTCTTGCCCCAGTTCTGTTCATGGCTTCCCTCAGGGTAGCTTTCTAAATGTAAATGGGATTATTTCACGTCCTTATTTACATTCTTCGACGGGATCCAAGAAGCCTAGAGGATCGAGTCCAAATGTTTCAGCCTGGCAACAAAGCTGTGCAGTAAGGAGTCTCTGATCCTGCCCACCTTTCAGGCCTTGTCTGTGGCCCTGCACCTGTTCTCTTAGGTCTGGGCTTCTGCTCTCCAGTCACATGGAGTGTCCTTCCCTCTCTTGTCACTTGGCAAATTCCTGTTTACTCTTCATGACCTGACGCCTCTGTCACCCTTGTTGACCCCCGTTGTCAAGGCGTCTTGTGCTCTCCCCTTCCTGGTCCTATGACACCTTATCCAGTTCTCTCTTATGGTACTTTCTGCATTATAACTTGCTGCTATAATTATTCTTCTCTTACTGTCATCCCTAGCCCAGGCCTGGCTCGGTCAACATTACTTACATGTGTTCAGTCATTCCCCTTACCCCCAGACTCCAGATCCACATACGAAGATCTACCAGGGTCTACAAAGTAGGGTAAGAGCCTGGATACACTCTAGAGAACCAGGGACAGCAAAGCTATAGATTTTGAAAAATCTGTTAAAGGGCACAGAACTGTCCCACAGAAAGGGCGGGTGAGACTGCTTTGGCCCAGTGTCACGGCCCATCTGCAGACTCCCTTGAGAGGGTGGGTGGTACTTTATTAGGCTATAAGTCAATAAATGGTCCCTGGGAGATCTGAAAGAATTGAAGTGAATTCCTTAGTGTCTGTAAAGACACATGTGAAAATGCATCTGCACTCCTGTAGACTTCAATATGAAAACTAATTTTGGTGTTTATACACTTTTGACACAATAATCCGGTGTGCACCAGGTCTCAGAATGTCTAGAGCTTGTACCTTGTAGGCACCCTTAGATGCTTGCAAGAGGCAGCTTAGCTATAGGTGAAATAAAGTGAGAGGACAATGGAGTGTATGGTTTCTAAGATTCCTTCAGTGCTGCCTTCTGATCTTTTTTTTTGAGTTGGATCCTTCCACCTCAACCTTCCAAGTAGCTGGAACCACAGGTGCGTGCTACCACACCTGGCTAATTAAAAAAAAAATTTATTGTAGTGACGAGGTGTTGCCACGTTGCCCGGACTGGTCTCGAGCCTACAGACTCAGGCAACCCACTCTCTTCGGCCTCCTAAAGTTCTGGAAGCCACTGGGCCCGGCCCTTCTGATCATTGAATACTCATGACCTTGAGGCTGGAGGAGTCCAAACACATGCATGCTTAGGAGAACTTTTGTGGTTATAGGAGGCACAAAGTATGGCACAGGGTAGTGGAAAGATCATAGGCTGTTGGATCAAGAAGAGGTGGTTCGAGGCCCATCTCTTCCATCTTCCAGGTGTTTATCATTGGGCAGACTGTCTAACATCTCTGAGCTGCAGTGTGCTCAGGTGCCTCTACCGTATACTGCCATTGGGAGCTGAGATGCTCAGAACTGAGTCTAGTAGACATCGGTCCTCTCTTTCTTCTCAATGTGGGGATGTACTGAGCTCATCCTTATCACCGAGTGTTGAAGGACATGGAATATCATCGCAGGTTCCATAATCTGTCCCTTGCTGTCCCTGGCAGGCACAATATGAGGAGGACCGGGCAATGATTCTGACAAAATAAAACCTTCTAGATGTTCTCATGGGGAAAAAAAATCTGTCTGTGAATATTTGTTATTTCAAGCTTACCTTACAGTTTTTTTCCCAGAAGGAGGGAGGCAGTAGTTGTACGGGAAGATGAGTCTTCAGGATCCTAGGGGAAGGCATTGTTTTAGCCTGTGTGATCCCTGCAAAAACGGGTCTCGCTTATTCTTTGGTTTTTCTAAAGTTTTTCTGTTTCATGAAACTGATCTTGTCAGTTTTTTCCACATACGGCTTCTGAGTTTTATGCCATGTTATGCCTCCTGCACTATTAGATGATAAAAAAATTAACCCTGTTTTCTTTTAGTACTCAGCACTTTATGTTTCCCTTTTCCCCTCTGACTCTCTGCTCCATTGGCCCTCCCTTGGGGCATGACTTACTAATGTGTCTCCTCTCCATTTCTCTTCCCATTAGGCTTCAAGAATGACCACAGAACCACACGGCCATCAAGAGATGGTTGACACAGAAGCAAACAGGGACACTGAGACCATGTTGGCAGGATTCAGGTTACATAGGGATGATCATCTGGATGACCTAGAACTTACCTACGTTATGTTTTAAAATTACCATGCAAATAAGATCATAGTTAAGAAATTATGGTAGAGGTCTTGAGGACTCCCAAAGATGTGTCCACAGATGGCTTCTAGGGTCAATCCCAAATGACTTAATGTGGTCTGGCAAACTTTACAAAATCTGTCCTCAGTTATTTTTCGCCCTCATTTTGGCCATGCTTTTTCCTCAAGCACTTTGGTGTGACATTGACTGAGCGATTTTGAAAGCAAGGCATGTGTTAGGCTAACTTCAAAAAAAAAAGAGAGAGAAAGAGAGTGAAGACAAGGAGCAAGACTTGATTTCAGGCCATTAATTTGTTCATTTTTCAAAGATGAGTCCATAAACTCATTGTTCAGATTTGATTAAAGTGAATTCCTGTAGAAATGGTACTATTAAAGATGACCAGGTGCCCATACTGGTCCACTGTAGTCTATTTAATTCCATTGTACACCTCAAACACACATAGCTGAAGTCCATATGACATACCCACACCCACACCTATACCCACACCCACAGCCACACCCGTACCCACACTATATGACTAAGTGGTTAAGAGCATGGACTTTAGAAAGGGCAGTATCGCCGGGCTCGGTGGCTCAGCCTGTAATCCCAGCACTTTGGGAGGCCGAGGTGAGTGGACTGCCTGAGCCCATGGGTTCATGACCCACCAGGGCAATTTGGCGAGACCTCATCTCTACAATAAATAAAAAATGAGCCGGGCATGGTAGCGCGCGCCTGTAGTTCCAGCTACTTGGAAGACTGAGGCAGAAGGATCGCTGCAGCCCAGCAGGCCGAGGCTGCGGTGACCGGGAGCGGCCACTGCACTCCAGTCTGGGCGATGGAGTGAGACTCCAACTCAAAAAAAAAAAAACAAAACAAAGCCAAAAAGAAAGAGAAATATCAGGTTCAAATCTTAGCTGTTACCTTGAGCAAATCATAATCTCTCTGCTTGTCGGTCTTATGTAACATGGGGATGATAATGACCACCACCTCACAAGCATGTTAGGGCAAATGGGTTAGTATGCCTGAAGTATTTAGAACAATGCCAGCATCTGGCATGTGCCATGAAAATCTTATCTGTAACTATGCCATTTATTACTTTTCCATGGAACGTGCATTGTGAACTCCACCTTTGAATGCTGTGGTCCTGGGTGCTGGGCTGCCTTAGCATGGACACTGGGGTCTCACGTGGGTAAGCAGGGACTCTGTTGAGTGAGAACTGCGTAGCTACTCCTTGGCATTTGTAACTGGTTGGACACTTCGATGGACAAAGAATCGTACCTTTCTATTGTTAAGTGTCAAGGTTAAATCAGTTTTCAAGTGAAGGGACCTATCCAGATTTGCACAAGAAAAGTTAATATTCACTCAGTCCTTGAAACTAGGAATCAAAAGGATTTCTCCTCGGTATGTGTTAAACTTTCAGGCTCTCTTGAATCATTCGTCTTTATGTGAGGATTATGGATTTAAATCTGGAGGCGTACCAGTAATGGTCATTCTTGTCCACTCCAAGAAGGGCTGTCGCAGATGGATGGGAGCACGCTTGCTTTTCTCAACATCGCCATCACTCTGGATCAGGTCTACAATTTCCTGTGTCCAAGTGGTTCCTGAAAGAAGGGAGAACAGAGAGCTGAGGCACTGATCATTGATTTTCTGCCACGTACAAGCTAGAAACATCTTATGCTCCAAATAGCTAATTTGTCACTCGATACCTTATCACATTGCACCGAAACCAACCATGAAGGTTAGCTTTTTCTCATCATTGGTATTTTTAGAAAATGATAATACAAATAACGATTGCATGTAGCAACAGGGGTTAATTTAAAAACTTCCATAGGAGGAAAATCCCAGAAACCCCCAAACACTAGCTATCACTTTACCATCAAAAATTCTGGCCTGCTAATCAGAATCTTGTTTCCCCTGCATGTTCCTTTTTTTCAGAACCATGAAATGGACACAATGCCAGTAATATGAAAAAGAAGAAAAAGTGAGAATTACAAATGTACACAAACTGAAAAAATTAGATCTAATGAATTCCTCTTTCAAGGGCAAAGAAATACTCAACGTAATATTAAATGGTGACTTCCACAAGAAAGTTGAACTGGTTTCAAGTAGAAAAATAACCTTTGCTACATTTGGGGGTCGTATTTGCTTCTCTCAAAAGCCTGCTGTCTCCTTACTGATTTTGGGGATTCCCTTCAGCCCAGTCCCTTTAGCCTCTGCTGGTGTATCTTTCAAGAAGTCTATCCTTGTTTGGCTTCTGGGACATTTGGCTGACCTGGTCTTGTTTTTCTGTGAGGACGCATGGTTTGGATGTTTGTGGAGCTGTGGGATCGGATGGACTTGAATCCTACGTATGATGCATGAGTTGGATGGTTTTGCATAAATGACATAAACCCCACCAAGTGTCAATTATCATCATGCAGTTTTGAGGGTTAGAAGAGAAAATAGGCAGAACCCAGCTGAACAGTCGGGACTGAAGACATGCCAAGTGTCTTAGTTTTTTGCCGAGTTGGTTTCCCTCCTGAGGGCAGTACAAGGGAGAGCATCTTGCTTGGGTAACCCTTGAGAAGGAAGGTGCCATTCTCACCATGGCTCTTTCATGCCAGCTTCCTGGGGTCCTGGCTCTCCCTTCCCTAGCCCCTCGAGTGGTCCCTGGGTACTGTTCCATGGCTCCGCTTCTAGACTGTATGCTGGCACACATCTGTCTGCTCCTTGTCAGTTCCTATTGTGCACTAAAGCCACTTTCTCCTTCTCCCCTTCTGGAATCAGAGTTGGCTTCATGCTTGAGTCTTTGTTGCCTCCCTGGCAATTTGCTGTCTCAACTCCGCAGTGTTTGGTTTTGCCCAACCCATGCTGCTTTGGGAGTGTCGGAAGGCCCTTTCTTCACATGGGCTGGTTCTACTTTCTTTCCTGGGTTCTGAGTGTGGCCTTTGGGCCTGCTTTCTTTCCCGGAACCTCTCAGAAGAAGCCATAAGTACCTCCTCCTGCAGAGGTCACCTTTTTTTTTTTTTGAGTCGGAGTCTCACTCTGTCGCCCAGATTGGAATGCAGTGGCCGCACCTGGCCACCGCAGCCCCAACCTGCTGGGCTCCGGCGATCCTTCCGCCTCAACCTTCCGAGTAGCCGGAATTACAGGCGCGCGCTACCACGCCGGGCTGATTTTTTGATTTATTGTAGAGATGCGGTCTCGCCAAGTTGCCCAGGCGGGTCTCGAACCCGCGGGCTCAGGCCATCCACTCACCTCAGCCTCCCAAAGGCGTGGGATTACAGGCTGAGCCACCGAGCGGCTTGAGGCCACCTTCGGAGTTGGCTTTGCTGTGGTAGATGCTGTGAGCGTCTCAGGAAACCGGCTCCCTCAGTGGCCCCAGACCCTATTTGTGCTGGTTTGGTCCAGGCCATACAAGGACTTCTGCTGGACTTCTTTGTCTCACACCTCAGACTTGCCCTGTAACCAGCCTGTTGACAGAGGCCCTTGCACTATGGCTCATGCTCACCAGTAGCTGCTCCTTGTAGCCCCTGGGGGCCTGAATCCCATGAGATTATGTTCCCGTGCCATCACTACGGCCTGGTTTCTAGTGCAACCTGATGCCTGTTTTTCTCTAAACTCCACCTGCAAGCTGGCCTCTTCGAGATGCATATGTTGACATGGATGGCATCTCAGAAAGCCACAACATGGCTCCGGCGAGCTATGGCAAGTTGTGCTCTATAACTACATATGGACGGTTCCTGGGGGTGTAGGACACACAGTCCAGATTTTCCTTCTGAAGGGGAGGTGTTTATTCCCCCAGTTGCTAGGCATGCTGCTGCCAGATGGCCCCCAGCCATTCAGCCCCCTCCCCTTGCTGGGCCTCTTGCATTCGGTGACTGGCTGACACCCTGCCCCCTTGTCCCAACTGCTATGGGATCAACTCTGAAGGGCCCTCCCAGCTTCACACCAGCCCATAGGAAGCTTCTGCCGGGATTAAGTTGAAACCTAACCTCTCCCCTGGCTCAGTCCTGCTTCCTTCTCTTCCTTTACAGAGGGAATGATCCCAAGAGCACTCCCCCTTGTACGCCGCACACACATGTATCTCCAACTCAGAGTCAGCCTCCTGGGGAATGCCCCAGGTGACATGGGCAGAAAAGAGGCTGTGAAAGTGAGGGTCACGGTTTCAGATTACAACAGGCAGACTTAAGTAAGCAGCAGATGGGGCCAGGGGCCTGGCAGCTTGGGTCCCTTGTGATTTGTAGGGTCCACAGCTCTCACGTACCTGTCATGCCCTGTAGCTACAGTCTCAGGAAAAATGTATTCTCATTTTCTGGATTTGAGCTGAGAAAAATGCTCAGTCTTTCCCAGGCCTGAGGAGATAAACTTCACCCTAGGATGAAGCTCTCTTTTCACTATTATCTCCTACTTGTAGCATATCATTTCTTCTTCCACATTATTCTACATCTATTCCTAGAGGGATAAGTATTATCCTAAGAGTGTGACCCCAGATAACCGGGTGCTATGTAAAAAAACCAGTTCACGTTTCCACAGGGCAATTCTGCCTCTGGGAAATCAGACAGAGTCTGGTTTCATATTTTTAATACAGCAGCTGCTCTATTTCTAAAAACTTTAGAGTTTTTATAGAAACAGCTCATTTGACATTCTGTCTGATTCGCAGACAAGGGCACATTTCATCCGCTCTTTGATTTTACTGCCCCGTCCTACGAGGTGTTGACCCGTGCCTGATTTCCACTGTCCTCTCCTCACGTCCACGTACCTACCTGCTTTGGGATAGGAAGCAATGAGCAGGTCGTCAGGCTGGGCTTGGAAGTTCCAGACTTCATCCCAGATGTCACATAGTTTCTTCGGAAGAAGGATTCCGTTCACTTGGGAAGTTTCTACGGGCGCAAACAGAGCCTTGTCCTCAGTCATGCCCTCCACCTTGGTCTCGGGCACTGGACGAGAAAGCAAAAAGGAAATGAAGGTTGAGATTCTCACCGGTTTTATACCTTTAGTGCCTTGGGCACAGAGCTCCAGTTGCTCGTTATAGGTTAAGTGTGCTTGGGTCAACAAAAAGAGGCAATTTGCATGGACATTTGGACTGGAATGGGAGCAAAGTCTTCAGGATGGTGTGTCAGAACAGGGCTTCCCCTTCCTTCTGAGAGACGCTGGCAGTGCTCGCCCCATGCTGCCAGAAGGAAGGTCGGCAGCAGGCAGCTCAGCTTAGGGGCCCGCCAACGTCTGGGAGGTCATTTTCTGGTCCCGTGACTGCCGGTGGAGACGGGGAATTGAGAGCAGGCACTGAAGGAGTGCCTGGAGCAAGTTTCCAGGACTCGGCCTTCCTTCCTCACCTCTTCACCTAGAGTGACTCTCTTCAGAGAGTGACCAAACCTGTGTCCCGGGTTTGGTTGTCCACGGAAATTTGGAGAAATACTTTCCCCACACCCACGCAGACTCAAGCTTCCGTGAACATATCTCACGTTAGGTCCCCATGTTGCCAGCTGGGACAGTTCAACTGGAAACTCCATCCTAACGTACAAGGCTGGATTCTCAGGGTTGCTTCTTTTTTGTGAGAGTTTAGACTGTAATATCTGAGGATATTATTACAAGTTTTTTTAATATCAAGGCACAATTTACACACAGAAAAATGCACAAACCTTAGGTGTACATCTTTTTTTTTGAGTTGGAGTCTCACTCCGTCGCTCAGGCTGGAGTACGGTGGCACGTTCACGGCCACCCCAGCTTCAACTTGCTGGGCTTGGGCAATCCTTCCGCCTCGGGCTTCCAAGCAGCCGGAACTACAGGCACAAGCTACCATGCCTAGCTAATTTTTTTTTTATTTTAAATTTATTGTAGAGATGAGGTCTCGCAAAGTTGCTCAGGTTGTTCTCAAACCTGTGGGCTCAGGCATTCCCCTCACCTCATCCTCCCAAAGTGCTGGGATTACATCTTGATAAATTTTTACTTATACCTGCACCCATGTAATCACCACCCACATCAAGTTATGGGACTTCCCATCACTTCGAAAAGCTCCATCCTTCCCCTTTTCAGTCAATGTCTCACTGTTACCCAAGATGGTTCTGACTTTCCTCATATGGTTTAGTTTTGCTTACTCTTTTTTTTTTTTTTTTGAGTTGGAGTCTCACTCTGTCGCCCAGACTGGAGTGCAGTGGCCGCTTCCGGCCACTGCAGCCTTGACCTGCTGGACTCCGGTGATCCTTCCGCCTCAGCCCTCCAAGTAGCTGGAACTACAGGCGCGCGCTACCATGCCCGGCCGATTTTTTGATTTGTTGTAGAGATGAGGTCTCATCAAGTTGCCCAGGTGGGTCTTGAACCCGTGGGCTCAGGCAATCCACTCACCTCGGCCTCCCAAAGTGCTGGGATTACAGGCTGAGCCACCGGCCGCGGTCAGTTTTGCTTGCTCTTAGACCTCATATTAGCGGAATAATACATTACGTACTCCTCTGAGTCTGCTTTTGTTCTTACAATATAATGCTTTTGAAAATCAAGTATCAGTTGCAAGTATCAGTCGTTCATTTATTTCTGTTGCCATTATTTCTATGTCACTGAATGAGTATATCACAATCTATGTCTTTGTTCTTCTTTTGATGGACACATGGGTTGATGTCAGTTGTTGGTGATTATGAATAAGGCTTCTGTGACACTTTTGTACATTTCCTTGTGTGAACAGATGCACTCTGTCTTGTTCACTTAGGTGCATGACTACGGTTTGAACTGCTGAATCATTAACTTTAGTAGAAACTGCCAAACAATTGCTCAATACATAGACGATGACACTGAGCTTAATGATATCAAAAGAGCCACTTGACCACCTGTCTGAACGATCTCCAAATGCTTCTTCTGATTCTGGGATTCCAACTCCCTGGTAGTGTGGGAAGATCTCTCATCTCTTTCACTTGGCTGCTGCCTCAGTTGGGTGTCTGCCTCTTTGGGACTGAAGTAGCACTCTCTTTGGGCTGTATCCAACAGGCGCCTGCACAGATGGGCCCTGTGCCATTGCGTTGGGAGACAGGCTTCTCCAGATCCGCCTCCACCAGAATTTCTCTCAGCATTCAGATGGACTCAACCCAAGCAAAGGTTACTTCTCCGGATCACCTCAGAGGGATTTTAGAGCTCACACTGTTTATTTTTCTAGTGTGTGTCACCCGGTATGCCAGGTGTTGGCCTTAACCACAAATTTCAAACTAACTATTGTAAACATCATCTGGGAAATATCACCTCAGTGGGTCAGACGGGGACAATTCTACCGAGCTTACGGTATCCAGTTTGGCAGGACACCTACCACTATTTCTCAGTCTCAGCCTCAGTTAACTACTGCTGCTTCCCCTGGGAGCCCTTGCAGGAATTTGAGACGATCTTCAGCGGACACCTGCCCCCTGGGATTCCTGAACAGGACAGGGAGCATTTGTGAGCTATATTAAGTCTATCAATTTATTTCTTTTGGATGAGTTTAGACCTTTTCTTTTCTTTGCTTTTTGCATGACTAGTATATATATTAAGTAACATATAGATATGTTTGAATTATCTGAAATGAACATTTTTGAGCTTAACATTGTCAGATATTGTCTGGCTAAGTTATTGCCTCTCAGGTTGAAGATCTCCTGTTTCTGGTTTTCTATGAGATGCAGGGGCTGGAACCCTGCCATCCATGTTTCTGCTGGGCTGGCTGGCACCTCATCCCTGAGTCTTTGCCCACAGGGAGACTGAGAGACAAGAGGAAGAACAGGAACTCGATCCTTCCTGCTGCCTTCCGGCTCCAGCGAATGGGACCTCGGAGACACCTCTTCACTCCAGCAGCATCTGGTGTTCTGTTCGGTTGCCTGGCAGAGCCTAGTTTGAAGATCAAGTCAGAGTCAGCATCTTCACAACTTCCTTAGAGACAGAGCCCTGGTCTCAGAGTACTCCCGCCTCAGGGGTCCAGAGTTTTCTCCAGACACCTCCCTCCCTGCTTCTCAGTTTTAGTCATTCCTATCTTTCTGTAGTTCCCGCCCATATGATGCTCGAGTGCTTTCTTCCTCTCTTTTTTGACAGCAATTTAAAATGATCCAAACTAATACCTGCACATCTGAATTTTAACAGTATATCCCAAATACACTGATCACTGTAACCAAGGGAGAAGACTGTTCTCTTTTTTAGTGATAGACAGATGCTGGGCACATAAGAGATTTATGGGGGACACACTTGTGAGAGATAGATGAGCATGACTGTGGGAGGGTGGGTGTAGGACTCACCTCGTGGAGAAAGACAGGACAGAAGGAAGGAGGGAAGCCTGGAGAGAAAGCCTTAGTCTGGGTTAGCTCTAAGAAAGCTTTAGCAGAGCCGTTGGGGGTTCGCTGGACAAAGCGCCCATCAGAGAAGATGCTCCCACTGAGAAAGCCAGGGCCAAGTGAAGAGGCAGAGGAATTTGGCCACTAGCCTCAGAACCTTGACACCTCGGCTTAGAGACTCAGCCACCAGGAATTTGACAAAGTTCCACAATTTCTGTTACAAATATTCAGCCAGTTTTTGAAGAACTTTGAGCCCAGCTTCTCAGCTAACACGGTGATTTTATTTTCTAGGTGTGTGCCAAAATAAAAAAGTAATTGCTCGTTCTTGTCTGAACAATTTGAGTGAGCTCAGAAAGTAGTTTCTAAGGAAAAGCAATGATAAGGGGAATAAAACACGCAAGATAAGGTAATAAAGTTGCCCCGGGGTAGTCTAGATTTCGACTCCCTCTCTGTAGTGATCCATGTGAAAGGTCAGAGAAGTATCAGCCATTTTCTTCCTGTAGTCTTCATTGAATCTGTCATTCAGTAATTCTTCCTGAAAGACAAGGAGATCATACTTGAGAGATTGGTTGGGAAGTCTATGCTATATGCGCTTTCCTTAAAGTGACACTTCAGAGATAACAAGAAAGTGCTAATTCTTATTTCAGGTACACATCACAGTATAATGCCTTTCAAAGATTAGTATCTTGAGAAAACCTCTGAGTTACTGGCAGCATTGATAGTTTAACGCAAAATGAACTCATTAATGTCCTTTTCCCTAAAACTAGCATGCAAGAGTATTTTTCTCAAGTTAATTCACAATGGTTGGCAGGTACCTCTCCTCATAAATGGGAAGATGGAGTGGTCCACGACTTCAGAAGGTATGTGGTGTGCTTGGTCATGGGGTTTTTCTTCACACTTTCGAAAGCGTGCTGAATGGTCCTTTGGACAGTTTCTTCATCTATCTTCTTACCCCAAAGTTCTATTATCTTTTGAATTTCACATTCTGGATTCTGTGGGGTGGGGGAAGGACAATAAGGGACCCTGAGCGGGTTTTGGTGAGAGAACGAAGGAAATGACTTTGAGAAAAGTTCTTTCGGTTCTCCCCGTCTTGATATTTGTGACAGTGATGGTCTTGCTCTCCTAAAGGACGCAAGGTGTTCTTTAGCTTTAAATTGAGAGGTAGTGCATTATCCTGAGTTTTCCCTCTGTTTCTTCGGCTTTTCTTGCCGGTCAGCTGTCAGCACTGTAGCTCCCCTTTCAGAAATATACGGTGTTTTCCAGTGAAGGGCCAAACGTATCGAGAGCTGTTGCCTGTTCCCCTTCTCCCACCCTGGCAGGCCCACAGTCCTGCCCCAGCACCCCGAGTCACAGACACAGTCACAGACACAGACACAGACACAGAGCCTGGTTCTTTTCCTTGTTGTTTCTTGCTGGCCCCTGCTCTGAAATTCCACACTCCCATCCTTTGCTCTCACCCGCAGAATTTTCTTAGTTCTTCATTCTGTACTAGGTGCCCTTTCATGGAAAGAGATGAGACTAACCCTGCCTGGAATATTCACTTAGCACGTGGGTGTGACTTGCATGTTTATTTCCGCTTCCGAGGGTGAATGCAATGAGCACTGGGAATTATTGAGGAAGATACTTTTTGTTTCTGAGTTTTTGAAATGAGAAGAAACACAGCTGTGAAATAAGCTAATCAGTTATTTTAATAACCTGGGTCTGAGGATGAGGAGATATTTGTTTGTACCAAGGAATGATAGAAACTCTCCCCAGGGGACTGAACAAATTAACCAGTGGTTTTGGGCCAAAAAAGAACACAAGTCGGATAAAATGCCACTTGCACCCACAGGTTCATCGCGGCACAATTCACAATTGCAAAGATGTGGAATCAGCTGAAATGCCCATCAGCCAATTAGTGGATAATGCAAATGTGGCATATGTACACTATGGAATACTATTCGGCTATAAAAAGAACAAAATAATGTCTTTTGTGGCAACTTGGATGGAACTGGCGAACATCGTCCTCAGTGAACTAACTCGGGAACAGAAAACCAAACCCTGCAGGCTCTCGCTTACGAGTGGGGGCTAAACTGAAGATCTGCAAAGGCGCAGAGAATGATGTAATTCTCACCGGAGACTCAGAAGCAGGAGGATGGGAAGGGGTGAAGGGAGGAAAAACCACCTCTCCGGTACAACGTGCACAGGTGGGAGTGGTGAGTACACTTCTTTGCCGCTGTACAATGTAGCCATGGAACCAAAAACGATTTGGACCCCCTAAAGCTATTGAATTACAGAGAAAAAGAAAAAATAAGAAAAGGAAAGGAAAAACCATCCAAACAAAAATCCCCCAAATCCCCAAGTTCCTGGATCCAGCAGGGTGTGGTTATCCCGTGGAGATGGAATTATGACTCCGAGCTGTCCCTGACATTCCTCGCCACATAGATGACCGGCAGTGGTAGGTAGGGGTGAGTCAGGGCTGATGGAAGGAAACTCTCACTACTTATGCATGACTGCGAGTGAAATGTTCCCACAGGGAGCTGCGATGCATTCGGCACTCTCTCCATGACTTTCTCTCCTGCCCTTAGGTGCCCACATCCATTCATTCATTCATCCAGTGCTTACGGAGCACCTAGCCGACCCCGGGGATGCAGTTCTCTCCCCACGAACAGCTCGGTTCAGAAAGTATTCTCATGCTCTTCATCTCTGTTTGCACAGCTTCAGTAAAACCTTCTTCTTTGCTCAGTCAATAGAATCATATTTTGTTTGCTTCTGGCTAATACTGCATTTCCAAGCTCCGAGGGTGATTGCTCAGTCCTGGGTCCTTTTACTTCCTGTTGCTCTTGTAGCAGGATCCAAGGTGTCAAACCTGTTTCGCTTCTTTTTTTTTTTTTTGAGTTGGAGTCTCACTCTGTCGCCCAGACTGGAGTGCAGTGGCTGCTCTCGGCCACCGCAGCCTCGACCTGCTGGGCTCCGGCGATCCTTCTGCCTCAGCCTTCCGAGTAGCTGGAACTACAGGTGCGCGCTACCATGCCCGGCTAATTTTTTTGGATTTATTGTTGAGATGAGGTCTCACTGCCCAGGCGGGTCTCGAACCCGCAGGCTCAGGCAATCCACTCACCTCAGCCTCCCAAAGGCGCGGGATTATGGGCTGAGCTACCGAGCCCGGCTTCACTTCTTCTTTAAACCTGATGTTACCCAAATTAAATCTCTTTGTTGGTAATACAGGGTCTGATATGACCCCACTACTGCTAACGTTAATTACAGCTAAACAAGATAGATCAAAGCGCCCAGCTTACAACCTGGACACTGTAAGCACTTTTTACAGCTCAGCTGACTTATTCCTCTAATTTTATAAGGTATGATTATTGATCCCATCTTCCAGAGGAGGAAACTGAGGCAAGAGAGGTGAGGTGACTAGCACAAGGCTGCACTCTTGGTAGCTGGCAGAGCCAGGACTGAAACTCCCTCAGGGGCTCCAGAGCATGAGACACCAGACGGCTTGTGTGGAGAAGGATGAGGCTACCAGCATCCTCCCTTCATGCAGTGCCCGGAGACGGGGCCCAGGCACTTTTCAGTGGAGGCTTTCATGCTATTTACTCACTTTGGGGAAACAGACGTTAACATGATGGCAATGCAGATATCATTAAAAACCATTTCGGTAGCGCACGCCTGTAGTTCCAGCTACTTGGAAGGCTGAGGCGGAAGGATCGCCGGAGCCCAGCAGGTGAGGCTGTGGTGGCTGGGAGCGGCCACTGCACTCCAGTCTGGGCGACCGAGTGAGACTCCAACTCAAAGCAGAAACAAAAACAAAAACATTTCAACATTTCAAACGTTTAAGAACCCTTAGTGAGTTCCGACAGTCTTTGCCTGTGGCCTAAAACTGCGAGCCCCTCCCATGGAGTGGAGCTCCCCCAAATCTGTCCTTTTCCAGCAACTTCGCTGGGCAGGAGGACCACAGGGGTCTCCTCTCCAGGGCGGGAGCTGCACTGTCAGTCAAACTAGACCCCTAGGCCCGCTGATAAATTGCATCTAGCCTAAAGCGGCCTCTTGACATATTTGAAGTTTGGCTTCAAGGTTTCTCCATATACAGTGAGCTGTCACCACATTGAATGTGGAAACAGGCCATAACCGACTCTTGTGCCAGTCTCTGAGTCGTGGCCAGCGTTCAACCGTGTTGTCATGAGGCAAGCACCAAGCTGCAACCAGAGCAGCTGTTTCTGGGCCTCACTTCCATTTCCTGCATGTCACGTCCCTTGTTCTGTCCACACATCCTCTCCAACCACGCGGCAGCCCTGGGGTCTCTCGCTGAACCTTCTCTGGTTCAAAGGCTGCCTGGTTCGCAAGTTGTTCTCTGCTCAATTAAACTCTGCTCATTTATTTTTGGCCTTTGGGTTAACACCACTCATTCTGAATTTCTGGGGACCTCTGTGATGAGTGGCGCCCACCTCCTTGCCAAGCCAGAAGACCCGTCTGGCCTCTTGCTTTCTTGTCCTCTCTGCAGAGCTGGCCGCCACTGGGCCCCCGCATTCATTTGTTCATTCCCCCGATACTTACTGGGCAGCTGTCAGACACTGGGCATGTAGTTCGCTCCCTGCGCTGAGGACACTTACAGGCTGAGAAGGGAGTCAAAGAGCAAACGGTCATTGACATAACTGCGTAAGTAACTTGCGCTTTGTGAAGATGGGAGACTTCCTAAGCCTCTGGAGCCCCCCTCCGTGCCAAACCATCGGAGGAAGGAGAACAGGGAAAAGGGATGACTGGGAGACCAAGGAATTTGCTGGGGACAGGCACTGACACACAGCGGGGGTGGTCAGCCTTGGGTGCGGAGAGGGACTCCCGTGCCCCAGAGACAAGAGGGAAGATGCTGACAGACATTGAGGAGCAAGAAGAAAATCGATCTCGGCCACAGAGGACGTGGAGTGGCCGGGCCAGCTCCCGGCTGAGGTCGGACCCCGGAGTTGGCAGTGATGTCGGGAGCACTGCTTTGCAATTTTCCCATGGCAGCTCTGTGTCTGGCAAGAGAGGAAACAAAACGGTGGGTTGAGTCAGGCCTGGGCATTTGCAGGGGGAGACAAGGGCTAGGAAGCAGAGTGATTCGAAGCGGTGGTAGCCCAGCTGGAATGGATTCTAGGTCCTCACTGGCGTTTAAAATGTCTGAGGCACGGAAGCCTTGGATGGTGGCAGGATCAGGGTGTGACTTAGGGAATGGGGCTGTGGAACAGCGGAGGTGAAGGGCCTGGAACACAGGAAGCCAAGGGTGAGTTGGATAAATTGCCACGGGAGCAGAGAGACTAGAGCATGGCAATCGACAGCGTGGAAGGAAGCTCTGAGCAGGCCTTGGAAAGATTCTGATAGATAAGGGTTGTAACCGCCTGACCTGTAGCACAGGAGGACATATCTGGGGCCTTTCCAACCTGGTATGGTTAGCGTAGTCAAAACTTCCTTTGAGGCATAATTCACAAACTACATGGAGGACAAGTAATTTTTGGAGCTTCCTTGTGAGGCTGAGTCAGTTTGGGAAGGCCCCACAGCTCTAGACCAAAACCCCATGCCCCTTCTGCCTCCAGCAGACAACCCTGATTAGCATCCTCCTGAGATAGGGCTACATCCTGTCTGGGCACTACCCTCATTCCAATGTGTCTTTGTGGATCCCGGAGAATGTCTGTGACAGGGTGTGGCTCTTGGGGACTTCTGATGAAAATGCCACCAAAGAACAGCTTGAGTGTCTGTGCTGTCAGGCCACTTGGCTCTTCCTGGGGATAAGACGGCTTAGGGCTCCTTTTCCCCCTATCTCTTGCTGATACTTTGATAGCCCTGCCACAGGAGCTCATGATAGTTTTTAGAAGAGATCCTATTACTTGTTTTTATTCTATCACCTCTTCAATGAAATGCAGAAAGGTCTGGTTTCTTTATTGAGTGTGTAAAGAATTTCTGAGGGCCCTGGAAACTACTGGGACATAGATTCTGGGGTTCTATGAAGTGACATTTCACTGGAGTCTTGGGGTTGCCTGATGGTCTAGTGGACAAAGAGCTTTAACTTCCATCACAGACTGATTTGCGGTAGGGCATTATTAGCCAGCAACATATCACCCAAGGTCGTTCCCGGGGCTTCTTCTGAAGACCTGGTAACAACTGAGAATAGCTAGAGGAAAACTTCTCAAATTTGGACTAGTGGAAGAAGGCGAAGATGTAGGTAAGAGGACGAACTTAGTTTAGAATTACTGATACAGAGATCCACTATTGTCTGTCCCTATTGCCACAATCCCTAGAGAAGGACATGGTAAGTATTAGAGCGTTCCTGCTTGTTGCCACATTCCTAAATGTTAACAAAAGGCGTGCCTCCCCTTATCTCCTATGCACTCCCAGTAAGTAACTTCAAAGCATCCTTTACTTCACAGCAGACTGTGCCCAATCACCTGGGATGTAAATTCCCATGTACTCCCTTTTCTTTGGAGTCATAGGTTTGAATAATATAGTATCAAGGTAATCATAAGTCTTATGATGTGTATAACTTTTGTGTATAACAATATGTAGTAATGTATGATGTCTTAGGCCCTGTTAACTCCCTTTACTCTGGCAAATTTGATGAACGCCTCTGCCTGGTGTAACCAATGCCCAGAAATGCAGACCACAAATGTCATTATGGACAAAATGCAGCGGTAACTTAAATTCGGCACCATGCTCTGCTAATCACATGGTCACTATATCAGTACCAAAAACCCTGAACTTATAAAAGTGGACTGTAAAACCTGAAGGGTGAGTGGGACCATTTTAGGAAGCCAGGAGCCGGGTTCTGCTCCCTGAATTCAACTTCAGAAATAAATCTTTTTCTACCAGTTCCTTGCCCCCTGATGTATTGGTTTCAAGGGCGAGCAGCCAAGCATTACTTGAACCATAACATTACTTTAAAGCAATGATTATATTTTATAATAAATTACACTCAGTGAGTCAGGATAACTGCTTATTAATATTAATGAAATGCGGTCTTGTTGCAGGAAAACAGAGAGACCGTGACACCGAGGCTGTCTCAGGAAGTAGCGGTTTATTAGCACCGGTGTGACTCAGCGGGCTACTGCTCTAAGGCTGAGCAACCCAGAGAAAGAGGAGAGGGGTTTTTTCTGTTAGTTTAGGCAAGGGAGGGGGCGGGTTGTATGGCTATACATTTTTCTTTGTGATTTACAGGGTGGTATTTAGCAAAACCAGATTTTCAAAGAACAAATTTTCTCCGGGTACACGTGACAAGCAGGGGTTGTAAACTGATAACTTCACAAAGAGAGGATGTAGGGATAAGGTTGTGAATGGATTACTCTCTTGTGTGCCCAGGAAAGCGACCTTTGGGTGTTTGGTTTTTTCAAACCCCATGTCTAGTAAGTTTTGGAGCTTGCAGTTTGATCTTTAAAAGGAATAATTTTAACTGTTTTTAGCCCTTCTCTGCCACATCCCCCCCTTTGATCCTCCACCCTTTATGGGTTAAGAGCGTCATCTTTAATTTGGTGCATTAACATTTTGTGGGTCACAGTTTTTTTTGTTGTTGCTTAACAACTGTTTCCACAAACTTAGAGACGAAGTTCAAAATTACTGGGACTATGCAGGGGAGGATAAGACAGGATTACCCAATAGGATTACAGATTCAATAATGTACTTACATTCTCCCAGACCCAAGAACATGTTTTTAAATCAACTGCCAATTTTTATGCCATGCCATTTTTGTACTGGGACCTGGGAAAGCTTTTTAATATAATAAAGAATAGAAATGCTAGTGAGACCTTTTTCCAACATTTTCAATTTGTCAGTCCTACAGCAAATAAAGTCAGTCCTATAGCAAACAAAACGACAAACAATATAGCACTTGGCAAATACAAAGGCTGACAAAGTGAAACAATGGTCCATCAGTAAGGTTCACTGAATCCTCAAGCTGAATTCTCAAGCTTCTGCTGTGACTATTGGCAGAAGCTGGACCCAGCCTAAATGAGTATTTTTTTTTTTGGCCTGTTGCTGAACTTTTTTTTCATAGCAGAAGCTCCTGTTCACCCCCCTTTGTGGCTTCATAGAGGGATATGATGAAGAAGTTAGGTATCCAAATTCTATGGAACCTTCTGAATTTGACGCTGGGTAGTTGGGACTGGTATTGAACACACTGCTTGCTTCCTTAATGGGCCATTGCTGCAAATGAATTCTTGTTTGGCCATTACTATTAGCTGCTCGACTTCCCACTTTGAACTCTTAAATGTACAGATCTAAACGCTTCTGGTTTGTCCCCTGGAGAGGTGGCACCCATCAGGGAAGCCTCTGGAGACCAAAAGTTGCCCACAAATCCAACAATTTGAGCAACAGAATGTACTAGCATAGGAATAGGACCACTTTAAGTACACACTGAGTAAGAATTATTTTGTTGCTTAAATAGCAACCTTAAGTCCTGTACCAGTCTGCTGTCCCTTGAGGCTGTTGCTCTGGTCTGGGAACAGGGTCTCTCTGTTCAGGCATATACTTTCCCACTCAGGAAGGGTGTATCCAAGGCTTGGTGTTTGCAGGCTTTCAACACAGTAGTTGAGGGATGACTCGGATGTCTTGGGGTCCCTTTCTCTTTTCTTGCAGCTGTTGGTTGGGTCCTTCCTCCCTCCAGTTGTTAGCAGCACTTACTCCCCTGGGATGTC